GCACCCACACACTCGGGAAGGTCCATACACACGGCCGCACATGATGAAGAGCCAAGTGAATACGTAGGTCACTGACTTCCAACATCTTTATGTTTCTTATGATTTTCTCACGTGCTTTCCTAAATGATTCGAAGACTTACAAACCAATAACACAGGAAGATAGACGCTAAGGAAATAAAGTAGAAAGGAAGAGAATGGATAAACCAGAAAAAAGTCAGAGTCAAAACAGACCACTGTCAATGAGCACGAAACTCGGCTCAGCACCACCTGGCGAACCCCGGAGAAGGGACATGCAGGGGCTGCACCCCTCCCCAGCCCCACAGCAGGCGGCGTTCTGGGCCCAGGGAGAGCACTTCTCAGGGCTGAGGGCAATGAGTCATTTGGGTCCCTCCACAAGACCTTACCCAAGACACCTAATGGTCATTGTTTACATTTTAAAATTTTAATAGAAAATTAAAGCTAACAAAGGTTATTATTTTTAATAACAGAGTAGTGACTAGAGGAAGCTGAATTGAAGGTACAAGACTACAAGGTGGAAGCTTTAAGTGATATACACTTGATTCACCCAAGAAACTGCATTAGTTTGCTACTAATTGGAGGAGTCTACGATTGGCTATCTTTTTTCTCTTTTGATTACATGGTGACAATATGTCACTTATATATGATTTCAAGCCTCTATTCTCAAAGATTTGATGAAACCCTTCTGATTCTTAGTTGTTCTCAGCTGTAATGAGAAGATACATTCAGAAGCAAGGATAAGAGAGAGCTTTGTGCCTCTTATTTGAACTGATCATACTGATTTCTATACACACGAGGAATGTTCTTGGCTTCTAGTCTACTTTGGTCGGCAGGTTGTAGGGTGGGATTAATGAGGCCAATATGGTTCAAGTTCCCTGTAGGTCTAGCAAATTTATGCAGAGAAAGTGTTTTAGTTGTGTCCTCCCTAGCCAACTATCTTGTAACTCTAGTCGTTTGTCATAAGGGAGACCAGAAAAAGGATGCCTGCATGATTACTATTATCATTATGACTACTGGGCGGTCTTCATCACGTTCCTCTGAAGCACTAGGGACCACAGGAAGCCCTTTTCCTACGATGACCTGTTTCACAGTCACCTTGTGGAGGGGCTGCCGTCATCATCTTATGGGTGAGAGAAATGAAGAACGTCAAAGGCATGAAGGTGAAAACCTCCACAAGTGGAAGAAAGGCTTCACTGAGGGAAAATATATTCAAATCATGACAAGTTTTCTGCATACTATCTAGACACACAACAGGGAAGAAACAAATTAACTGAGTGGCGTTAAACAGAATCCTGCACAGCTCTGTGCTTGACTTGCAATTCTTCCCCAAACTCACACACATCAGCAGACAGCCCGATGGAGCCCCGCGAGCCCACGGGTTTCTAATTCGGGTTGTCTTTTCTATCCTACAGCTACTGGGCAGGGGGCCGTTGCCTCCACTTGGGTATCACCAGAGTCCCCAGTACTGGGAAAGCTAATACACGGTCAGTTCCATTTACCATCGTCTTCAGAGTCTGTGACACCTTCAGGTAGAACTTGAAGAGGAAGCTGACGATGAGAGTCCTCTTGAACTCCACCTTTCCGCCCGGAGCCCCGCCTGGAAGGGAGACTTCATCCAGAACCAGCCTGCAAGCTGCATCCAGCATCTCTTCATTCCAGGGCCTGCGGGAGTCAGAAGAGCAGACTCCTGGCTGACAGGACTCCCTGCCTCACAGGCTCAGCCAGCGTGTGAGACACAGAGCCACAGTTTAACGAAGGAAATAAGAATACAGGCTTCGCAGTCGGGCAACCCCGGCTCGAGTCACAGTCACCCTCTCAAGGCGTCGGGCCTGGACACGCCCACCACTTCCTCAGCTGCAAGGGAATAACAGGAGAACCCACCTCAGGAGGGGTCATGAGCAGGGAAGGACAACCCGTCGTGAGGTCTTAGGCCAGGAGTAACTGACCCTGTATCACGAGAATGTTATTGTGTGCCAGGCTCTGTATTAGGCCTTATATGTATCCATTCATTTAACCTTCTCAACTGCCCATGAGGTAGGGATGATTATCCCGCTTTGACGGATAAGGAATCTGAGGTACTGTAGGTCAAGCAAGCTGTCTGAGATCACGTAAGTAATGGACGTTGAACTGAGATTTGGACCCAGGCGTTTGGCTCATTCAAGTCCATGCTTTTAACCATTGCTCTCTATTATTTCTGAAATGGTAAATGATCCCCGGTAAATGCTCGAGATATATAGGCTATTAATATTATCTATAGAAATAAAAAGTCAGGTAAGCAAATGCGCTTAGCCATTTATTATAAAAACAAACTCCCATAACCTATTTTTCATCATGGCAAATCATTCTCTCATGATAAAGAATGAAAATTTACTCATTTTGCTTACTGTGTCCATGTACTACTGGGAGATGGGCTCTTGCTCTCTCTTTCTCTTTCCCTCACTCTCTCTCTCTTTCACACACACACACACACACACACACACAAATGCACACACACACAGACTACACGATGTCCACTTCAGAAATCACTAAAATCAAGACACATGGAAATAATCATGAAATCTTATTGGAATTCCACGCCATTAAATAAAGAGGTAGTAGGCATTTTTCTCTTGTAATTGCACGTCACCACAAAAAGAGCTGCTCCGTTACTCGGAGTCTCAGGCCACGACGCCATACCTTCCGATGAGTTTCTGGCAGGAATTCTTTGCACAGACGGTGGTTGGACCCACGCCTCCGTATGCGATGGATAACTCCCTAATGACGCCATCTCCTTCTCCAAAAAAGACTCTCATTCCCGAATTGACTATCGCAAGCGCATTCTGCTGCCGCTGGGCTTGTCGGAAGGCTGACACAAATTCCCACTGAAAGCACAAGTCAAGTGGCACATGTAGAAACACAAGAGTGACAACTATGCACTGGGCAGTTTACGTGTGTGGCCTCATACGTCCTTGTCACACTCTCCACTATGGGCTGAACTGTGCCCTCCCAATCATATGTTGAAGCCCTAACCCCTAGTACCTCAGAATGTGGCTGTATTTAGAGACAGGGTCCTTAAAGATGTAATTAAGTTAAAATGAGGTCATTAGGGTGGGCACTAATCCAACATGGTGGTGTCCCCATAAGAAGAGGAAATTTGGACACAGGCATGAACAGAGAGAGACCCTGCGAGGACACAGGAAGAAGATGGTCACCCACAAGCCAAGGAGAGAGGCCTCAGAGAACCCAACCCTGCCAACACCTTGATATCAGACTTCTAGCCTCTAGAATCATGAGAAAATAAACATCTGCTGTTTAAGCCCCCAGTCTCTGGTTCTATATTACAGCAGCCCTAGCAGACTAATGCCCCTCCGAGGCAGGCTGGATTATCCCCATGTCCCAGACGAGGACTCTACTGCTCGGAGGGATTCAGTAATTAGTTCAGCGTCACAGTGGATCTTGACACCAAGATTCAATTTTCAGTCTGACTCCAAGCTCTTCTTCTTTCCACGAAGTTCTATTGTAAACATATTTTCTTAGCTTCTTTCAAACCACAAGATATAGGTAGAAGTATATTTTCTAATCTTATTTAGGAAAAAGCTTCATGGGAAAAGAATTTTTAAAAATCTGTAAGAAAGTAACTTTTGAGTTTGGGTTTGGGGAGGGGAGACAGAGAGAGAGAGGGATAGAGAGGGAGAGAGAGGAGACGGCAGAGACGAAGGTCTCCTGATTCCAGGAATGATACATAACACAAGTGAAAAGTGACTACACACAAGTCCTGGGACTCTCCCCTGTAAACACTCAACGCCTTCTCTTAACCCCCATGTGTTGGAATTAACAGCTGCAGGCTCACAGGTAAAATCAAGAAATCGAAAGGACACTCTCACCTTCCTCGAGTAGGGGATGTACACCGAGACCAAGATTTCTTCAGGCTTAAGATCCGTACTGGGGCACTTTCTGAGGCACTGCTCATTTAAAGGAATTGTCGTTCTCCTTCTGTGAAAAGAAATGACACCTTCCCTGGAGTCCGTTCTATTAAACAAGCAAACTTCCAAAACTTTGGAAGTAGTTCTACCAAATAACTGAGGAACCTGACTGTTTAGGAAAGGGCCCGCTCTTCCTATGCTCATGAATCTCTCACCTATGATGGCACCTTACACTGACTCCCCCAGTCGAGGTCCTACCTTTTTTTTTTTTGTCTTCTTTCCTTGATTTTAAATAAAAATAGCTAGCAGACTAGCCCTGAGGTCAGTAGAACAGGACCTGAGCAGTCCTCTTCCTGAACAGCACAATTCATTTTGAGCTTTACAATTAGAGAGTAGATATTAATATTCCTTTTGATATTCTGATCTAGTCATCCAACAAACATTTATTGTTTATAACCAGGAACCCTACTAGGTACAGTAGTGGATAAATAAATTGCCTTTAATGAATTTTTATACTAGTGAGGAGCTGTCTCATTTGTTTACAATCTTTCCATCACCTAAATAATTTCTGTTCTTTAATCAATATATTGAGGGGAGCAACCACTTAAAGCTATAAAAAAATATGACATTGAGACAAAAGCTTTTGATGTTTATATTCACATCAGAAAACCTATTTCTCATTGTATGATTTTTTTAAGGAATGTTACTTAAATTTATAAGTCTGAATGCAAACCTCCTTCTTTAAGAGAACTTTGTGGTTTAGATGATACGAAGAGGAGGGATTTAACAATGCAGGTAATAGAAAGCTAGTCCATGATTTAAATGAAAATAAAAACAGATGTAGAGAGGACCAATTAAAACTTCATAATAATTCTTAACTATGTTGTAATAAGAGTAATAAATTATATTCTGGATTTAGTTTCAAAAACAAAACTCAAGCAAATAAATATAGAATGAAGCCCAACCACAGAAAAAGGTCTGTAGGTTTCCATCAACAACCAACTAAGAAGGAACACACAGCATGATGTGGGTGCCACAACACTCCAGTACTCCCTGGAGAGAGTCTTCAACAAAGGCCCCAGTGGTTCTCAGTAGCCTCTAGTTCTCTCCACTACTCAGATCACATCGGGACACGAACATCACAAGCACGGTCAATGTAGGGTGACCAGGATGGGAAAGCTTCTAGCACCAGGCCTCATAAAGAAGAGGATGAAGACATTGGGAGTGTGTGGAATTAGGACCACGCTGACCAACGTTCCAGC